CGCCACGTGCTCGATCTCCACTAGAAGTAGTGAACTGAATGTGAGATGACTTGCAGGACCTGTTCTCGAACACGTCTCCCCCCCCCCCCAGAGTGGTACCATTTGTTCGATTACGAGTTCCCAGGTTTGCGTGGCCTGGTTTTCGATCAAGAACTGAGCTCCGAACAATGCTGCGCTTGCTCCAGGTCAGCGCCAGGTCACCGCCATTCAAAGCGCCCTATTATAGAGAGGACAAGCAGACCCGGTCAGTTTGCGCCATGCATCTAAACTCAACTTCCTTACTCGGTTGCTTTATGTGCACGAGTTGGTACATGAAATAGTTTGCAAAGACGGGTGCCTAGTCGCCATGGGTCGGGACTAACGATCAGTGCCAGAAGATAGTCCCACTTGGGGTGAGGAAGGGGGTTCCCAAGCCTAGAAACCGCAACACTGTCACGGCTCAAAAGTGCGCGACAAGGGCGCCAGGGCTTTGCTTTGTGTGCTGCTGTGCTGCCACCCTTATCGATAGCGTCTGCGCCCTCTCGCGTACGGCTCTCTCGCGTTTTCCCTCTCCTCGCAGCGCTGTGTCTCTCCGTCATACCACGGCCGGACCTCCAAAGGGTGCAGTGTTTTCTATGGTGCTTTTTGCTTTTTCTCCTCACACACATCTCTTATCACATTTCTTGTATAATTTTTTAGTAAGATAACACATCAAATTGATCCCAACCCGCGCATGTAATTTAGCTGCTCCTTTTTTCTTTTCTCCATGAAATAGGCGAATTCAGAAGTGGGTTGATTAGCCGCGAAGAGTGTCATCTGTGAATTCTGCAAGTGCGTGGTAACGATCAGGTCAACCATCCGTTGTGCAAAGAACAACGAGGGGGTCGTATTTGGTCAGCGGAAGGGGAGGGGGTCGTATCTTTAACCACAAGATCTGAATGTGCGAAGGCATGACTAATTAAGTGGCAAAGGAGAACAGGAGGTGCGGACTTACCACTGTCCACCACCTCTCCATGTCGGTGACGGCCCATGCACCGATAGTGGGCCTAAAGCCACAATAGCTAGTGCAGGGGCCGTACAGATAACCTTCGGAAGGGAGAGGGTCGTAAGAATTTTGCAATCTGCGCAACGCACGCTTGACCCTGGTTACGACGCCTACTGTAGCCAGTCTAACCGAACCTGGATAAACGCTTTTTTGCACCGTGAGTACTAAGGACCCGAATCACCTTATCCGGCTCTTTGCTGAAAAGTTGCGTCTGAGCGGAGCCAGTTAAGGTGTTCATTCGTTTCCTGGAACATTACAGATTCGAGTGGACAGTAATTTGCATGGCGTTAAACATGCAAAGCGCACAGATGACTTAGGAAGCATAGGTTTCCATGGTGTCTGAAGTGTAGGTTTTGCGATAAAGGGGTTTCGATCTCCTAACTCCCTGGGGTTCCAACAGAATCAGTCGGCGCTCATGGCCAGGGACAAAAAGAGGGTATTCAAAAACCGCTAATAGGTGACATAAGAACTAATCCAAGAAGAAGGGAGAAACGCCAGAGAGAATAAAGTTAGGCGCTCATACCCTAAGGAGGGATATTAGTTGAGTGGGCCACTCATCGAACTCGGGATTGGGCCTTAGGGAGGGGAAAGGGTTCTGGGAGAGGATGTGAGCAACCTTTTCTCCCCGATGTTTATTCCCAATCTTTAGCTTAGTTCTAGTGTCATCTACCAGCAGCTTTCGAATGCCCAAAGTTTGATCATATTTTCCCCAGAGCCTTTCCTCTCCGTAAGGCTTACCGTTAGACGTAAGTACTGTAAACGATTCACTCACTTGAATGTTCCCCCCCCCTAAGGACATTAGCGCCGCGCGCTCTGAAAGAATTGTCATCGACAGCTTGTGGTCCGAAAGCATGCACTGCTAAGCAAACGATACGCATTGATTGAACCGAAGCGGGTATACCACCAGATCGTTACGGAAGACTTGAAATAAAAGTTGGAAAGTTTGATAACAGAAGTGATACGGCGCTTGTTATCAAAATTACGTCATGAGACCTAGGTGGGTTTTATTTGCATAACGTACGTTCATCCGAGTGTTTGGTAGGCAGTGTCAGTTCGGTGGGAATGGACGCGGACCAGTACGAGCAGTTGGGACCGGGCAAATCAAAAATGACAGCAATTGGGCCGTCAGATGGTGGTCAGGAGTCAAAAAAACCCCAGGTACTTCCAGCAAGGACTCCTGGACAGACCGTCCTCGGACAATTCGCTCTCAGGTAACAGCTTCATGTTTTTCACATCAAAAAGGCCTTTAGGGAGGCGCCACGCATCGTAGTTCAATTCGGAATCACATTCTTCAGACCAGGAGACGATGTCGACCTGAGTTCAGAACGGGCAACGACCGTCGGCAGTGCAGAGGGAATAACAGCAAGTTTGTCTACAGAGATCCTTGCCGATAACTTTATTCCATAGTAAAGACACAACTTTAGCGAAAAAGTCTAAATCGAAAGAGGACGTCATTTCTGGGGACAAAGAAAAAGAGAGGGAGAAGCCAAAGGCAAAAACAAAGCCTATTCAAATAGATATTAAGCCATATGTGGAGCCGGTAGGCTATTCAATACATCACAGCTGTATACTCAGCATACTTACAGCCGGCTGCTAACGTAAAATATAGACATTGATTGCACTCAGGCGCACCACTAGCTGATGCTAGCTGCTTACACACGTTCGTGAGCGCTATTAGAGCGTTCAGAGTTGGCGATCGTACGTGCGATTAGGCGATAGGCGATTAGGCGGGAAGACTACATACGTATTGATTGGTTTGCTCCGCCCATAGAGCGTTGTAGGCGAGTAGGCGAGTAGGCGATTAGGCGATTAGGCGATCGCTCAATGGGCGGAGCAACAAATCAATACGTATCCTTCCCTTATCGCCTACTCGCCTACTCGCCTAATCGATACGTATGCTTTTCTTGAATCATCGCCTAATCGCACGTACGATCGCCAACTATGAACGCTCCTTACCGCAAGATACCGGCTCATTTGATGGCAATGCACTTAAAACGGGCTCATGCCACAGGGGGGGGGGACATTCAAGTGAATCAGCCACTGACAACACTTGGGGCCAAACCTGGAGGGGAGCTACGAGGATGCGTTAGCGGTTTTGCCCGGCATCCAGCCCCCTCCTAGGCTTAGTCCTGAACGTTGTCCCCATGCGATAGCGCCATGTTCGTGGTCACATTCCATAGTTTGGGCGACAATCACGAACTTGCACAAGACCAACCAAGTTAGTGCCTGTCGCCAGACGTACCGCGTGCGCGGCGCGTTTGTTTGCGCGCAGTTAACAAGCGGCTGCAAGTTCGCTGAGTATAAACGCATTTCGTGCCTCGCCCTTCAAAGTATTCGTGAGTATTTTAGACAATGCTGAAAATGTGTCATGCGGTCACACTGACCCTGTTGGTGATCAGTTTTGTGTTGATGGCGTTAACAGTGGTACAATTCGTCGATATCTTTGTTTGGTTGCCGATATTGTTTGGCGATGAGGAATGAGATTTAAGTTAAAGCAATGTTTATGGAACGCTATTTACATATCTTCATATCTACTTGACATGTAATTTTATACGAATACAGTTTGAAATAAAATGTTGAATTTGGAGTTCTTCATCGCTAATGATGGGACCAAAACCTCTGCAAATTCCTAAAAGCTAAGGTAGGCTAATAATGTGGCTTAGAGGGCATAGTCGCCAACGCTGCGCGCGACACGTCTGGGCTCTCAGCGAATAGTCTGAGCTTGCACATTTCAGATTTTCACACACTTAATGGCTCGTCCACATCCCCACCCAGCCCTTCCCTCCCTGAGGCCATGTACAGCAGTACTCGGCCGGAGATGGATCACCAGAACTATTGCTGCACCCAGCGCCTGAACTGTTTGTGGAGCGTTCACAGTTGGCGATCGTGCATGCGATCAAGCGACTAGGCGATTATGTAATTCGTCTATAGTGGAAAATATCAAGCGATTAGGCGAGTAGGCGATTAGGCGATCGCTCAATGGGCGGAGCAACAAATCAATACGTACCCTCCTCTTATCGCCTACTCGCCTACTCGCCTAATCGCACGTACGATCGCCAACTATGAACCGTTTCGCACCATGCACAGGCGGCCATGCTGCGCGCCCCGGCGGAATCTAGCCCCTCCGAGCAGGGTCAACCGTTACGTTGGACCGATATTGGAGCGACGTTGGACCGATGTTCACCGCTCTCCGCGCCGGCATTCACTCTCGCCACCCGCGAGCCGTCTGTGTCTCCGTGCGTACGTTCACTCTCGGCATTACTCTCGTCGTCGCGTTGGACTTTGTCCAACGGACGGTTGACCCTGCCTCCGAGCCACAAAGCGCCGCTAAGGTGCTGTTTGAGCTGCAGGCATTCAGGCGAAAGGAAACTATGCGTATCGTGAGAGGGTAGGGCTAGTAGGAGACCAGGGGACCAGGGTCAACCCTACGTTGTTACGAGTAACACGAGTAACAACGGGGGGTCGTACCTGGTTGAGTTTGTAGGAGGGGGGGGGTCGTACCCACTTTAGTCGCTCGAAATCACGTGTGGGATTGAGGTGAAACTAAGATTTCGTGGGTAGTAGGCTGTGCGAGGTGCCAGTGGAGGGCGTTGGGGTTTGGTGGGTTGAGTTATACCAGAATTAAATACTATAGAGAGGAATATGGTGGTCGAGGGTCGAAAAGGGGGTCGTACCAAATCCACCTTGGGGGAGGGGGGTCGTAAAAATTTTTCGAAAAGTAACAACGATAGGGTTGACCCTGCAGGGGACTGCTCAGTGGGCGGGGCGAATCAAATGTAGATTTATGCAATCTCATTCACGTGCTCGCTTAATCGATGGGTATCGTTCTAATTTTGGCCTGATCGCCTAATCGCATGTGCGATCTCAAATGTGAACCTTGCCTAAAGTGTGGTGCACAATGCAGTTTTCAAGGACTTGAAGGTCCATGTTGTGAGGAGGGACATTGAAGTAAGCCACTCACAGCCTTGGGCAATAGCTTCAGGAAGGTTGGAGTTCTGGCGAAGATGCTCCCAGACGCTTCTTCTCTCCTGGGCTCATTCCTGATTCCTACGTTTAAACAAACAAAACAAGTGAGTACTTTGTCCTAGTGTCGCCTTCCAGCGGTTTTCAGATGCTCTGTTTTGAAGGAAAGCTTCGGGGTAAAACGTGGGTGGGGCGTTACACTATGATGATTAGAGTGGGCAGTTACCACGCACGGATACGCCCCGATCTCCGTTCCAGCTGCATTCCACCTCGAAATGGAGAAGGGATGGGTTCGGACGAGTTTTCGCGAACGGATAGCCAAAGTTGCTCCAGTGCCGTTGTTGGCTCTAGGCCAGAATCGAACTTTGGCACAGGTACACATAGGTGTGGATAAGACGAAGTGAGAGGAGGAGGGGCGGGAAAGTAACAAGGAAGTAATCCAGAAATCCCCACCCCTAGCTCCTAGAGAATAGGCCCAACGACCCTTCACGCCATGAAAGTGATGCGAGACATTGAACCGTGGTGCAAGACTGCCTCAGCTGTGGCTGCGCTCTTTTCTAAGCACAGCGTGGTACGGTGGCGGAAGGCGGGACTTGCGGACTGATGGTGAGATATGCGCCGATATAGCTGGAGCGAACTTCTAGCGCGTTTTTCGCGCACTTTCAAGCCGCAAAAGGGCACTTCATCTCGTCCGCCCGTCTCTCACCATCGGGGATCGGGAACAGGTGTGCACCTGATCACGGAGCGTTCCTTTAAATGTACGACCTATGACCGGCGCTAGGCGTTGGAATACAGAGTTCGTTCAGCCCACCTTTGGACTGTGGCTGCACTATTAGCACAACAACGTAGATGGATGAGTCGCCAGATTGGATTTCAGTGCGAAACAGCGAGGGCCTCAATCTCTCTGAGGGAGAACGCCTGGTGCAAGAAGCGCTTTTTAAAAGAATATCCGCTGGGATCGTCGGGCGCAACCCGAGAAGGAGAGTTCGATTTATTTGTCAGAATTGCGTCAATTGTAGAAAATGGTCTAGGATGAATTGGAAATCCTTGTTTCATGAGATTCTTAGGGCTCATCCTTCCACTGCACCGAGTCCGTTCAGAAAAGCCCTATAATGGGTATGTTTGGGATATTGAGGTTTATTATAGGCTGAAGCTTGTTATGGGTTTGGATCGACTATGAAACTACATAATTGTGCGCTCCAGTAGATGCGCTTCATGGAATGAAAGCTCCAGTTCAGTGGTGTTGTCGTTGGCTGACTCTGAATCGGAAATTCGGTCATCGGACTCTTAGATTTTAACTTACACACCTTTCATTCACCATCAGAATCACTGTTTTAGGCTCGGTAGCGTTTCCACTGGCGAGCGATCGTTAGCGGTAGGCGAGCAAAAATGGTATAATTTGGTCTCGGTCTACCTTAAAAGCAACCCCTTTAAGCACTCTACAGTCGATATCCGAAAGTTGGGGTGGGTGTGTCACCGGAAGTGACGTGCACTTGATAGAAGTGCGTGGATAAGCTGTTGCCAGCATGCTTTGCTGATAGCCAGCGATGTATGTTGGAAGCAGCTTATCACATAGTTTCTATCAAGTGCACGTCACTTCCGGTGACACGCCCACCCCAACTCACCGATATCGAGTATACCTTCATTTCCGATGGACTATCTGAATAACATGTTCACTGCCTTTAAGTTCGATCTTTTGGGTGATGCGTGGCACTCAAGAATGAGTGCTTATTTTGTAAGTACCTAAACTATGTATAAACAGCTAACAACAACACATGATGAGAGTAGCTATGGTAGATTGTCTGAAATGTGAGAACAGCTCAAATAACCATTTCGTTATATAAACCACAACCTTGGTGTTTCGGTTTGTTTGTGTGTATAATGTACGTCTGTCTGGAGACAAGCCGTTTGGACGGAGCGAGCACCCGAAGTAAGGCGTGAATTACGACGTTCCTGCCGCAATCACGTACATTGCGCTCGCAGCGACGCGCTTTCTGCGGTAGCCATTCTGAAGGTCATGCCAACAACGACGCTACCCCTTCGGTCCAGGGCAGCAATCCAAAAATGGTCGAGCGTCGCAGCGTACGCTCCGCCGCGCGGGCGGGAGCCTGAGCGCCGCGCGCGAGCGTGTGTCCATCCTCCACCTCCTATATGAACGGCGCTTCAGTACAGTTGGCGAGTTTGCTCGACGCGTTCTCTCTTCGTTGAGAGCGCAGACTGAACGAAGTTCTGCTGTAGTCACGTACGATGTACGACGCATTGACACGTTTCAACGCGTCAATGCGTCGCGCATCGTACGTGACTACAGCAGAACAAAATAATTCACGCCTTACTTCGGGTGCTCGCTCCGTCCGAACGGCTTATCTCGTCTGTCTGTCCGTCCGCAAAATGAAGTGTGTGATAAGGCAGCTAAGAGAATGCACAGGCCGCTAATGGAGCGTCCATAGCTGGCGATCGTACATGCGACCAGGCAATCAAGTCATTGGGCGATTCGTCTATAATGGAAATTATACGTATAAATAGGATAAGGCGATTAGGCAATTAGGGCTGAAGAATACATAGGTATTGATTGAATTGCTCCGCCCTCAGAGCGTTGTAGGCGAGTTCGCGATTGGGCGATCGTCCAATGGGCGGAGCAACAAATCAGTAGGTGCCCTCCTCTTATCGCTACTCGCCTACTCGCCTACTCGCCTAATCGCCTAATCGATTTGTATACTCATTTCGAATCATCGCCTAATCGCCTAATCGCACGTACGATCGCCAACTATGAACGCTCCATAACAAATCTGGGTATCTTCCAGGGTTTGCCCTATCAATGTTTTGCAAGGGCATGATTGCGATAACACCTCAACGGCTATATAAACACCTACGTAGCACACTTCCGGTCATTCCAAGGTGCTGCAGTGGCAGCTGGAGAGCAATGAAGAGTAGAAGGGAGGATATGGGAGGAGGAGGAGCGAAAAGCTTACGCATGGAAGGAAGGTTTCGGCGGTTGCCGAGGGAGCAATCTGGTTTGTTATAAGGTGGACAAAAACAAGTTAAACTTTATTCGCATGAACAATCACAGAAATTATTTAATGCCATGTAAATCGATAGAGTGGAATGCTAAGATTGTGATATCTGAATCGTGACCACAGGGTTATGTCATCCGAATATTAGCCGGACCCAGTCGAAAATATTATTAGAAACTGCAGCATTGATAGCAGCAACATAAAGAAACTGAACAGCATTAAACCCAATGTTATATTGTAACAAGATTTGAGTAGTGCCTAAAGTGAGGCATCATTTTTGAACACCCGACTCGCAAAAGGCGCCGAGGCGCGGACATAGCCATACGGGGGCATCGCTGTAGCGACCTTTTAAACTCGAGTCAAGCAATTGTTCTACAAATGAATTCAGTCCTAAGAGTGGGAGGACTTAAGCCGTTTGGACAGAGCGAGCACCCGAAGTAAGCGTGAATTATAATGTTCTGCTGTAGTCACGTACAATGCGCGACGCATTGACGCGCTGAAGTGCGT